AAAAAAAAAAAAAAAAAGAAATCTAGCTCCTTGATAATACTTATTACTCTGCCCCCAGGTTAGCTGCCCAGAGTGTCGCCCGCATTGTGCCCCTCTTCTTGGATGGCAACGTCTCCTTTCTGCCTGAAAACAGCTTCCCAAGCAGATTCCAGCCATTCCAGGTGACAGTGTGCTGAATCAGACAGGGGAGAATCTTGGAACTTATGTCTTATGTCTTCAAGAGTATTTTTTTTAGGGCTAATATGGATGAGTAAAGGGGCAGACAATCCTGTTGCTGGTAGGGCAGACTTGAGAGCGCTCTTTTTCTTTATAGGATGGCCCCTCGGGGCAGAGGCGGCTGGTTGCTCTGCTTATGGCCTTTGTCTGCTCCTTGCCTCGAAATGTAAGTGAGCACATTTGAGGAGTAGCCTTGTTTAACCCTGACAGGGGAGAAAAGGGGTGGATCCCAGGTGACCTCTGGGCTGAAATTTGCCAAAGCTCAGCTGATCTTTTACTTCCCTCACGGAGAAGTTAGTTCTAATCCATCCTGGCCCCTGCTGCTATTTGGTACCAGGTATCTCTTAGAGTTGAAGTGTTCTCTGGGTCCATCTCATGGCCTCTTATTCTGCAGGTAGAAATCCCTCAGCTGAATCAACTCATGCGGGAACTTTTGGAGCTAAGCTGCTGCCATGGCTGTTCCTTCTCCTCCAGCGCTGCTGCCAAGTGCTTTGCAGGACTCCTCAACAAGCACCCTGCAGGTACTGGGGAAGACTGGGTCAGGGCCTCCGAGGATCAACTAATGATGAAATCAAGCTCAGTACCCATTCTCTTTTTAAAAAGAGCTTATTAATAACATAATAGAACTTTAGCTTTGTCCTGGGAAACATGTCTAGTTCAGAGTTGGGCAAAGCATTACTGTACCTAAGGAGAGAAGAGAGCATTAGGAGAATATTGCACTTAGGTTCCACAGTCCTACTCCCTACTGTGGGGCTGATACGGCCGATTTTTTATGGGAAGCAGACAACCCTCTCTTTTCATAGGGCAGCACCCTGCCTTTTGAGAATACCAGCCATACCTGCTGGTGTCTCATGTGGACAAAATGACATTGTCCCTTTCTAATAGCCCTCAGGGAGCTCTGCATTTAAATTGTTTACCTCCTCCGTTGTTAAAGAAAAAATGTGTTCAATAGCTTAATAATGACTCAGTATAGATTTCAAAAAATGTACATAAGTGATTTTTTTCATATGGAAATATAGTTATGATTTCTACTTAATGATTTTATTAGACTGTAATTTAACTGCCAAGAGATTCTTTCTGGCTCTGCACCTATAGCTCAGCGGCTAGGGCGCCAACCACATACACCAGAGCTGGTGGGTTCGAATCCAGCCCGGGCCTGCCAAACAACAATGACAACTATAACCAAAAAATAGCCGGGTGTTGTGGCAGGCACCTGTAGTCTCAGCTACTTGGGAGGCTGAGGCAAGAGAATCGCTTAAGCTCAGGAGTTTGAGGTTGCTGTGAGCTGTGACAGCACAGCACTCTTTTTTTCTGAGACTCTGTCTCAGAAAAAAAGAGAGTCTTTCTATTAGAGCAACAGTAAAAAAAAAAAAAAAGTGTGCTTTGTGTATTAGGATTTTTTCCCTCCTTTTTAGGACAGCAGCTTGATGAATTCCTACAGCTGGCTGTGGACAAGGTGGAAGCTGGCCTGGGCTCTGAGCCTTACCGTAGTCAAGCCTTCACATTGCTTCTCTGGGTAAGAAGTCAGGAGTCGGAATGGATTCTGGTTAGAGCAGTGGTTCTCAACCTTCCTAATGCTGCAAGCCTTTAATACAGTCCAAAGGGGTTGTGACCCAAGGTTGAGAACTGCTGGGTTAGAGAGTTATGTCTGGTTAAACAGTATTGACCCTGAACCATATTTGCACCCTGAACCATAACGATTTGCATCTCTCGGTTCTGGGGTTTGAGTGTCATGCCCTGACTGCTTGCGCACTCTCTTTCTCTCTCTCCAATTACAGGTAACAAAGGCCTTAGTGCTTAGATACCATCCTCTCAGCTCCTGCCTTACAGCCCAGGTAAGTCCTTCTGGAGATGGGAGAACCTAGAACCTAAACAGTAACATTTTCTGTTGATCCTGCTTCTCCCCCTGATGTACCTCAAAGGTTCTCATTTTATCCAGCTCATGGGCCTCCTGAGTGATCCAGAACTAGGCCCAGCAGCTGCTGATGGGTTCTCTCTGCTCATGTCTGACTGTACTGATGTGTTGACTCGTGCTGCCCATGCTGAAGTGCGGATCATGTTCCGCCAACGGTTCTTCACAGATAATGTGCCTGCTTTGGTCCAGGGCTTCCATGCTGCTCCTCAAGGTGAGGAGAGTCCAAAAGAAAGGCCCCAAATATATAGACCTCTCCTTTGCTTAGCCACAGTGCCTAAAATAAGGTAGAACTTGCATGCTTTTTCAGAGCTAAAGTGTACTCTTCCCTAATCGTCCCACTTTTTACTATGATGGGACGTGTTATTCTGAGCTTGAGGGGCTTTCCCCCCTCACTTTATATAGGCTGATGTTCTAGCCTCATCAGAGGTTGGAGTTGATTTCACAGGCTGTCTAAGGCTCTCCCCTAAGCTTTTCCATGTTTTACAGATGTGAAGCCAAACTACCTAAAGGGTCTCTCTCATGTACTTAACAGGCTGCCCAAGCCTGTGCTCTTGCCAGAGCTGCCCACGGTAAGTTCAGTCAGAGCCCCACTAGGGACAAAGCTATTCTTCCCCAAGAGGGACTAGAATGGGGAGGAAGAAAGCCAGAATCATATTGTGGTTGTCCCCCTCCCTTTCCCATTGCCTCTTAGCTGCTTTCCTTGCTGCTGGAGGCCCTATCCTGCCCTGACTGTGTGGTACAGCTCTCCACCCTCAGCTGCCTTCAGCCTCTTCTACTCGAAGCACCCCAAGTCATGAGTCTTCACGTTGACACCCTCGTCACCAAGTTTCTGAACCTCAGCTCTAGCCCTTCCATGGTATGTTGAGCCCAGCAACTCTTTGGCACCATCTCCTGGGTCTCCCCTGACCTCCTTGTGGTTGTATTCCAGGCTGTCCGGATTGCTGCACTGCAGTGTATGCATGCTCTCACTCGCCTGCCCACCCCTGTGGTAAGTTGGGGAACTTCTTAGATGAGCTAGGTAAGTACCTTTCTGCCTTAGTCAAGGGAAGTTAACTATCCTGCTGTGGGATTGAGATATGAACTACAGGTACAGATAGGTAAGGATTTTTTCCTTAGGCCTAGAATGGACCCAGTAATTCCTGACTACCTTGTAATAGAGTGGCCATCTGCCACTTAGTATCCCCTAGTTCTTGCTTTTTTTTTTTGCAGTTTTTGGCCAGGGCTGGGTTTGAACACTCCACCTTGGGCAAATGGGGCTGGTGCCCTACTCCTTTGAGCCACAGGCGCCGCCCTTTAGTATCCCCTAGAATCACTAAAAAATAGGACACATTTTGCTTTCTCCGGAGTATTAGTTGTACAGTCAGAGAAGTGGCACTTTTGGTTACTTTGGATGAGCAAGGCTAAGGTGATCTCCTCTTATTCCACAGCTGCTCCCGTACAAACCACAGGTGATCCGGGCCTTAGCCAAACCCCTGGATGACAAGAAGAGACTGGTGCGCAAGGAAGCAGTGTCAGCCAGGGGAGAGTGGTGAGTTTTTATGTCATAGGGAAAGATGGGGCTGAGACAAACCTCATCACTAATGTTCCCAACATTTTTTGCTACAGGTTTCTGCTGGGGAGCCCTGGTAGCTGAGTCCCCTTGGTCCTGGCTTTGACTGTTCTAACAGACAATCTTACCTGGAATTACTATCGAGCCATTTTGCCCATGGCAGGGAGACTATTGGCTTCTGACTGCCTTTCCCACAGACAGCACAAGTGCTGGGCCTCTGTCGTGTGGCTGTATGAGAAACATGGGAGTTCTGATTTCTCATGGATTATGAGACTACTTATGTTTGAAGAGAGATTTAGGGTCGTGGGGGCTCTTCCATTTGTATGTCAGAGTAAGGGAGATATGCTGCTGAGGGCTGAATGCAGATGAGTTTGGCCCTGAGAGTCAGGGATGGCACACGTGTGTACCTACTGAAAAATAAAGATTTCTTTTGGTAATGGGGCTATCAAATATTTCCCTTAACCCCACATATGCTTCTGCAGCACATAACCAGAGGTATCACTGGCCTAAGCTAGAGGAACAGTAATGATAGGGATTAGCCAAGAATTCTTCTCTGCATCTAACTCTTCCAACAGGAGGCATGACCAGAATATCTACACACTAGGCCATGACCTTGGCTTCTCTCCTGTCCCCTCTACAATGAAGAAAAGAGTAAAGAGCTACATATCTTTAAAAATCATATACCTTTATTTTTGCTCCCCTCAGCAGCATATGAGAAGTGGCAGTGACCTTGGCAGCAGGCTTCGTAACTTTGCCCTGTTGAGAAGCTAGAATCCCAACTGTACCAGTCAGGTGTTTTCTCAGATAGCAAGTTGAAGAGGTGCCAGGGTCAGCACTGGGCAAGGCAGCTAGCCACTTGACCCTCATCTGGGGCTGGAACTTCTGTTTGCCTGAGTAAAGGGATGCCAGTCCTAGGATTTCTTCACATTGTGTCTTCTGCAGTGGTCAAAAGATTGGTCCTTGAGTTGTTCCTGTATGGTACTCTGAGGCAGGCCCACTAGCTCTTTTGATCACTCATTCCAAGAAAAGCTGCCCTTGGAGGCCCTTGAGACAACATAGGAAGCAGAATGAATGCTCAAGTTGCAGCTGACACAGTCCAACTCACACTGCCATCACAGAAGCTGAGTGAGCAGTCACCCAGGGAGGGGGCTCCCAGCTCATTCCATTCCCATGGGGCAGATGGCTAGAAGGTAACAGCACCCGGGTAAGCCAATGCCTAGAAGAGAAGACAGAAACATCTGAGTACCAAAAATTCTTGGTCCTTCCTGACCTTAATTCCTCAGCAAGCATTTATCAAGGTATGCTGAAGCTACCTTGGCATCAATCACAAAGGTAACAAAAATTCTGATTTCCTCTATTTTGTCTAATAAATGTACTCTATGCTGCCCCAAAGGCCATTGGAGACTTTGAGCTAAATTTCTAAGGGACCACTGCTAGCACAATGAGTGGCAGGAGTGTGGTGAGGATGGGGAAAAAGAGTGAGAGATGGTACTTACATTTTATTGTAAGTACCTCACAAACTGTTGGCTTGAACTCCAGATACTGTCATACAAGTGAGAGGTGACTAATGGCCACTATATCCTACAGCTAGAGGTCCTTTCCTAAGAATAGCCTCCTTAGGATTCTACTGTAGTCATCTTGAAGTTTCGTCTACTTAAAACCACATAGTTGTTTTTTTTTTTTTTTTTTTTGA